AAAAACTATGGATTGTCTTTTCCTTGGGTTTTCTTTTCATAGCATTGGTTATACATTCTTGATTGTAAAATCGGAAGTACCAGATATGCATGTTGGTACAATCATGGAGTGGAATGATGCGACTTTCTTTGAATATATCTTTCCCATGGAGGATATGGGTAGCTCATTAAATCGGGAGTTGCCTAGTTCATCGATTCGGGATGTGGTTACAATTTCTGAACCTACCACTCCGATGCAACATCTTGAAGATCTTGTGGAGGACAATGATAAGACTCCTAAAAGGAGCAAGAGACAGAGGACTGCAAAGTCCTTTGGTGATGATTTTCTTGTATATCTCATAGATGACACTCCCAGTTCCATTTCATAGGCCTATGCATCTAAAGATGCTGACTACTGGAATGAAGCGGTCCGTAGTGAGATGGATTCCAACTTGTCAAATGGAACTTGGGAGATCACTAATGTTGCTTATGGGTGCCAACCTATAGGGTGCAAATGGGTATTTAAGAAGAAGCTTAGGCCTGATGGTACTATCAAGAAGTAAAAGGCACGACTCGTGGCTAAGGGTTATACCCAAAAGGAAGGTGAAGACTTCTTTGATACTTACTCACCTGTGGCTCGACTAACCACGATTCGAGTACTACTTTCACTAGCTGTCTCACATGGTCTTCTCATTCGTCAAATGGATGTTAAGACTGCTTTCCTAAATGGAGAGTTGGACAAGGAAATTTATATGGAACAACCAGATGGGTTTATAGTAGATGGTCAGGAAGGAAGAGTGTGCAAGTTTCTAAAGTCTTTGTATGGACTCAAGCAAGCACCCAAACAGTGGCATGAGAAGTTTGAAAGAACTTTAACAGCTATAGGATTTGTTGTAAACGAAGCTGACAAATATGTGTACTATCGCCATGGTGGGGACGAGGGAGTTATAATTTGCTTGTATGTTGATGACATATTGATTTTCGAAACAAATCTGAATGTTATGAAGGAGGTCAAGGATTTCCTATCTCGTTGTTTTGAGATGAAGGATTTACGAGTAGCTGGTGTTATTCTGAACATCAAGTTGTTGAGAGACTATTATGGTGGGATTACATTGCTTCAATCTCACTATGTGGAAAAGATCTTGAGTCTCTTTGGCTACAGTGACTACAAGCCCTCTCCAACACCATATGATGCTAGCATGTTGCTTCAAAAGAATCGAATAATTGTTAGAGGTCAATTGAAATATTCTCAGATTATTGCCTCACTTATGTATTTAGCCAGTGCTACAAGACCTGACATCTCTTTTGTTGTTAACAAACTAAGTTGGTTTGTCTCAAAACCAGGAGATGTGCATTGGAAAGCTCTAGAGAGAGTTATGCGTTACTTGAAAGGCACTGCAAGTTATGGAATTCACTACACTGGGTACCCAAAGGTAGTGGAAGGGTATAGTGACTCAAACTGGATCCCAGATGCTGATGAAATATGTTGGAAGTATTGCAAGCAGACCATCTTAACGAGGTCAACAATGGAAGCAGAACTCACAACACTAGATAGAACTACGGTCGAAGCAGATTGGCTTTGTCGGCTCTTGAATGACTTGCGGTTGTTGAGAAACCTATACCGGGTATCCTTATGAACTGCGACAACCAAACTGTGATCGCTAAAGTGAGCAACTCAAAGGATAACATGAAGTCATCAAGACATATTCAGAGAAGGTTAAAATCTGTCAGGAAAATGAAAAACTCCGGAGTTATTGCATTGGATATATCCAAACGTCTAAAAATCTGGCAAATCCTTCTACTAAGGGTGTATCTCGTAATGTGATAGATAATGCATCGAAGGAGATGGGTATGAGACCCACAATATGAGTTGTTCACAGTGCTAACCTAGTCTATGTGATCGGAGATCCCGCGAATTAGATGTAGAAGACAATATGTTGTTCAACTGAGAGGAGAGTATCCTTACTATTAACAATACCACTCCATGAAGATGCAATACTCTCCTAATCTGCATGGTAGGTTGATGTATATCCTAATGTGTTCTAAGTGGCTCATTTAAGCAGAGATGTTGTCCTGCAGAACATCTTTCGAAGAACACACATATATGAGTCTGATTGTTAAACGTCACAATCTATGAGAGTAGGGTGCTCTCTAGTAAACTCATGAAAGGTCTTGGAGTATGACGCATAAGCTCCACCCGCGGGGAAGTCCCACGGTAGCCTAGTATCGGTCAAGGCTTTGTGTGAAGCTAGATTCGCATAAAACTTGCAGTTCAAGGCCTAGTCCACTGTTCAAGTTGATTACTAGTGTAGCATAGAGTTCTAGGCAGAAATTCGACTTACCAGTCTCCACTGCAGTGCTGGTATATAAAACAGTGTTTTGGAACCAAAGGCAACTTTTGTGTTCCTTTGGGATCTGGTGGGGGATTGCTGGAATTTTGTCTATTTTGGGCCACCCCAGTAGCAGTTTGGGAATTCCTAATAAATCCTAGAGGCTCATGCAGCCCATTCGTGCAAGGTAAGAGGTGGAACTAAAGTTTAGTCCCACATTGCTAGTTTGGTGGGAGTTGGACCTCCTTATAAGGGAGGTTGTTTTCCCACATGTATGAGCATGAGAACAAGAGGGACATTCACGCGCGCTCCTCCGCCGCCGCCCACCTCGCCACGTCACGTGACAATGCGCCGCGGGTTGCGGGAATGAGCCGAGCCGATGTCTAAATTTTTGCCAAGCGCGACGGGTATACGAACGGTCACACGGGAGCTAAAACATTTTGTTGTAGTGGAGATTGAATCCGAACGACGCACCTCTTCGCGTGCTACATGTTTGCTTCATCTCCCTCTTTTCATTTACCTCCCTTCGCAGCCTGTTCGCCTCCTTCTCCTGTGCCTATATAAGAGAGGTTGCTCCTCTCCAGAGAGACACATCAGAACATCATCTTCCTCTCGTCATCTTTCCTGAGCACGGAGCTACTGCTACGGTCTTCCCCATCCTGGCTTGCGGTGTGCACCACAGGTCGGGACAGTAGGCCTCTGAAACCCCACCCCTTTGAGTCCTGTATGAGAGAAGGGTGATAAGGTTTTTGGTAAGTGCTCCGCGCAACTACTGACTTCTTCATCAAGGATGCCCCCGACACCGACGACTACTTCCCTGACGACAACTTCTTCCCCGACGTCGACAACCTCTTCGATGACATGCCTGGCGAGGACACTGACCCCAAGACCAGTGCTTCTGTCGTTGTTCCGTATGTCTCCGTGTTCTCTCTGTTTAATATCTTGCCTCAGTTTCTTTTGCTAGCCTTTCTTGTTCTAGCCTTTGTTCCACATATGTTCTCTTCTAGTTCATATGTGCACATGCCATTTGCTTTCTCTCCTTTAGATTACATGACTTGTTTCATCTCTACTATGATAGTCATGTTTTATCTACTATTTATGTTAATAAAATCATATGGTAAATTGCTCATATTTCCAACAATTAATCTAATGCTCACTGATAATAGATTTCAGAGAAGATTAGTGATTGGCATGGAAAGGACTAGTGATTGTGGACCCCTCAAAATGCTAAGGACAAGGATTGGCAAAGCTCCAAGACTCAAATTTTTTGGTTAAGTGATCCAAGATCACATTGAGTCCATAGAAAAGCCAATACAATTAAAAAGGGATGAGATTTTGATCATGACTCAATTGCTCAAGTGCTTAGTGGTATTGCTCCAAAATCCTCTACCACTTCTCCACATCACTTTCATCCAAAACCCTAAAAGTCCATCTCAGTCCCACCGACATGTTCCCATCCAGACCCACCGAGATGACCCCATACACTGCCACATGCCACACCCTAACGTTTCGGTACAGCCGAAATGGATCCCAGTCTTACCGAGATGGTCTGACCAAGTTTTTGTAGTGAAGTTGTTTCATTTCGGAATTACCGAGTTGAAACGATCGGAACTACCGAAATGAAGTCTTGCCCTAGCCATTGCACTTTGGTCACACTGAGTCGTTCTGTTCAGTCTCATCGAAAAGCCTAACGGTCGAGTCTTTTGCACTAGTTGGTGTCACCGAGATTTTTATGTCAGTGTCACCGAGTTGGGCAAAGACTTGTAACGGTTGGATTTTTGGTGCTGCCTATTTATACCCGTCCACCACCGCCTACTCTCTAAGAGAGCCATCAGAACGAACCACTACTTTCATTACTCATTTTCTAAGAGAGAACCACCTACTCATGTGTTGAGATCAAGAGATTCCAATCCAACCATTTGAACCTTAATTTCTGGCACAAGTTGCTTTCCATTCAATCCTCTCTCCTACTAAAGCCAAATCTGTGAGAGAGTGTTTGAGTGTTGGGAAACTATCATTTGAAGCACAATAGCAAGGATTTTATCATCAATAACACCGTGTATTATGTTTTAGAGGGTGTTGTCTCCTAGATTAGTTAGGTGTGACTTGGGGGCCTCCAAGAGATTGTAGAGTTGAACCAAGGAGTTTGTAAGGGCAAGGAGGCCACCTACTTCGTGGAGATCTACCCGAGTGAGGCTAGTCCTCCATGGGCGTAAGCCATGATGGAATAGACAATATTGCTTCTTCGTAGATGGAGCCCTCCACGGACTCGCGCAACCGTTACCCTCTGTGGGTTAATGTCTCTGTCAACGTGGATGTATGATAGTAGCACATATCGGAACCACGACAAAAATCATCGTGTCTTCATTGTGTTTGATTTCCCCGATCCCTCCTTTACATTCATATGCAAAGTCTTTACTTTCCGCTGCTCAACTCTTAAACTTGCATGTGTAGGGATGTACTAACTTGGTAAAATTGCTAAAACTTGCCAACAACTAAAATTGGAAAAATGATAAGTTTTATTTGCTCAAGTAGTCTAATCACCCCCACTCTAGACATACTTTCGATCCTACACCGCTGCAGGTTGCCGCTCCCGCCAAAATTGGAAGTTGTCGCCGATTGCAGGTCGCCTCTCCTGCATGGGATGGCCGTTGTAGGTCGGGCCGCAGCTCCCGCTGCAGGCCACCGCGCGTCAAAGGTCCAGGAAGACGCAGTCACAGCTGAAGTTCTTGGCGCACTGCCGCACTCCCATCCGCATCTTGCCGGGGGCGGCAGGGATGGCCGGAATCGGCCGACTGTGGAGGAGAATAGGTAGGGGAGGTCGAGAGGAAGCCAGACCTATGAGCGGCAACATAGGGCAGCGCCGGAGCTAGTCGGAATCGGTTGGCGACGATGGCAGCGGAAAGGGGATCGGGTCGTACGATGGCGGCGGAAAGCGGATCGGACGGTTGGGGTTCACGCGTGCGGCTGCTCGTTTACATCTCCTAAAGGTGGAGACGTAAATTTGCATCTCAAGCTGTTGTATTTTACATTTTCTGAAAGTAATTTTTTTGCATCTACATCATTTTTTTTTTGACGAATTGCATACCATTGATTTGCGTACTCTAAAAAAAATGATGTAGATGTATATACATCATTTGTTAAAGATCATTTTTTGGCCTGAGATGTATATAAGTTAGTTATTTTTGCATCTACCATCGTCTATTGGAGATGCTCTAAACATATATGCTCCGAAATGATGAAAAGGATGTCGAAAAGGGAGAAAGGGCAAAAACAAGATGCAGAGGATGGACATTGAGGTACTAGCATGACCAGTACACTACCTTGTCCATTCTGACAAGGGCATGGGCCAAAGGCCACTGCCTCTGCTGCTGCTGAGGCGATTCCACTAGGATTCTCTCTCTCTCTCTCTCTCTCTCTCTCTCTCTCTCTCTGCCTCTGCGCCCGTGACTGAGTGCGTGCCCTGGTCCCGGTCATCACTTTCCCCTCTGCGACCCCTGTCTGGCTTTTGTCCACTCCCCTCTCTCTCTCCCTCTACCTGTTTGCTTTCGATATCTGTATGTATGCAGACACGTCACTTCACAACAACTGGCCACCACAAGCACACACACCAGGACTACTAGGTTCAGTTTACCACTACTATCATCACCATTCTGAGATCCATCCATGAAATTACAGAGCACAGCACAGCACAGCATTCAAAATGATGCATGAAGATAAGACAGACACACAGTTTTCTTCTTCTTGGAGCAGCTTACTACTAAGGAGGGGTATTATTTATACTACTACTATCATATACTGACTGACTTAATTCAGGCTGGCTAGAGCTAAAACAACCTAGATTTTCCTTTCCTTTCTTCTGTTGTTGCTGTTGTTTGGTGGTGTCGCTGCTCCTCTCTCGGGATCACTTCTATTATTTGTTAGAGCCTTTTACCTTCCATCCACTCGCTTCATGGGGTGCTCATGGCTTTCCCTGCATAAACACAACATAACCATCAGGGCCAAGGTCTCTGTTTGCATCATAATGGAGTAAGTGAATGATCGTTACGGCGCTGCTAGAATACAGTACAGTACAGGGTTTGGTTGCTGATGAGTTCTTACTCTGCTTAAGAGGAAAGGAGACCCCTGTTTTCTGCTTAATATTCACAGCCCGATGGCTCCATGGCCAGGTGAGAACCTGAAGCGGAACACACACATCAGATATTCATAATGTTACATCAAGCAACAGCAAAGAGAAGTCTTTGATGTTTCTCTCACCTGGGCACTTGGAAGAAGCAGGATTTGTAAGGGGGCAGCTCAAGGGCAGTTGGGGTAGGAGGGAACAGAGACGAGGCCACCAGATGAGGGCTGCCGTTGTTGCTCATGATGCTACCAGCGAGGGCTGGCTCTGCAGAGGAAGATGCAGCAGCAGCATCCTTCGTCTTTGTGGGAGATGCAAAGGGGCTGTCAGGCAGGTTGTGCTCCTCCACGCCGCTGCAGTTCAGTTCAAACAATAATCAATAATCATAGCTAAGCACATAGTATAACAATGCATCCGGGGAAAATTAGGCACAAGAACCATCATTAAAAAAATAGGCATTGGTTGAAATCATTCCTCAAGTTTCCTTCATCTTTTATTATGATGATCCCACCCTTTGCCTTTGCATTTCTTTTGGCCTTTGTTAAGCGCCAATCAGGGGCAACCTATGATCAGCACTCGCTGTTAACAGCCTATATACCCTGACCTCCTTTTGCAATGGCTTTTGGGGCCTCATTTTGTTGTTGGTCAATGAGAATAATATACTGCTAGTACTAACATACTACTTGCACATAGATAAAGAAAAGAAAAGCAAGCAATCAAGCAAGCAGGCAAAAGTAAGAAGCAGCAAGCTTGCTTTGTTTACTTTCTCCTATGCTATGTGTGCCCGCCCTTTATTTCCTTTCCCCCAAAAGAGAACACCTCCATTTGGTAATTGTTTGCTACAAATCCTACCTTTCTTGGAATCCATTAGCGCTGGCCGCTGCTGCTCCAGGAGGAGGACCAGGTTCCCTCTTCTCATCTTCCCCGGAGTTGACCCCTTGGTTGGCACTCCCGTCGCCCTCCTCCTCCTGCTTGCCTTCTGTGGCAATGGTGGCACAAATAGCAGCAGGAGCAGACGCCATCATCATGGCACTGCTCATCTTGTGATCTGCCACAACCACAAGCCACAGTACAGTCACAGCACATTGATCAGTGATATTTCTTTCCAAGTAAAAATAAAACAACCATTGATCAATCAAAGAGCAACCTCTCCTGCCATGCCATGGCATGCAAGAAAAGGATAACATGTCAAGATCAAGAGGTGAGCAAAGTAAAACCTTGGATTGCAGCATCCTCCAAATGAATGGCATTGCTGTTGCCGATGCCATCGGTCTGCCGGAGAGCCAACGGCGGGGCTACGGGGGAGCCAAGATGGTGGTGGCCCCTCTTGAGGTCGAGAAGCTGCAGCCCCATGAAGCGGCGGCTCTGCAGGTCGATGGCCTGCTGCAGCTCCGCCGCCTGCTGCTGCTCCTCCAGCTTCCTCCGCAGGAACGCCTCGTGGCCGCCAATGTTGCCGAACATCATCCTCGGCCCTGACAAATCAATCGCAGCACCCATTAGTTTGTGATGATCGGCGACGGGAATGCCGCAAGAATGCAGCATGCGCGGTTGTATCGCTCACCGATCTGCGGCGACTGGAGGTCGAAGGGGTCCCTGGAGTCGAGCAGCCCGGTGGGCGTCGTGCATCCGGCGAAGTCGCCATGGTGCGGGGCCTGGAACTTCCTGCAGTTCATACAGCAATGAATCAAGGTCAGAAAAATGCGTTTCCATCTCCGAAAACCTGCCATTATTAACTGAAACGATCTACTGCTCCTGTTCGACGGCGGAAAGTGGACAAGGAAATGCATGGCGGCGATGGCGGAGCGTGCCTGAACCTGTCGGGGACCTTGCCCTTTTCCTTGTAGGGCTTGACGAGGACGCGCGCGTCGCAGACGAAATGCGGGTTCCCCTTGGCGAGGATGAGCCGCACCGTCTCCGCGTACACGAACGTGACGAAGCCGAACATGCGCTTCTGCTGGTACGGGATGCGCACGTCCTGCACCGGCCCGTAGTAACTGCTCCATGGACGGGTCGATTCTCATTGTTATTGTTAGCAAAGAAAGGCTGCAAAATGCTTGCTGCTTGAACGGACAAAGGAGAGAGAGCGGCCATGGCGGCGGCGGCGCGCGCGCTTGGCAAGGTACCTGAAGTAGGAGGACACGTCCTCCTCGCTGAAGGTGGAGTCGGCCGGGAATGTCAGGTAGATCTGCCGCGCGGCGGGGCTGGAGGCCAGGTCGCCACCGCGGTCCATCCGAGGCGACCGCACGGAGAACTTGTGCATGTCGTCGCCGCCTCCACCGCCAAGAAGCATGGCCGCCGCCACCGCCCTGGAATAGCAAGCAAGATTAGCACTGGAGAGAGCAACCAAAAATGCAATCTTTGGGGGTAAATCGGTAATCGTCTCACCTCTGGGAGTCGCCCTGCTGCTGCTGCTGTTGCTGGAGCAGGAAGTTGAGGCCTCTGGGCGACGGCGAGAAGGGGAAGGCCGGCGACATGAGCTCCGACCGCATGGCCGCCGTCCAGACCTCCATGTCCTGCTCGGTGACGTGGTCAGGCAGGCCGTGGACAAAGCGGCAGGAGGAGCCGTTCTTGCAGAAGCCGCGCGCGTAGTACATGCACGGCTTCCACCCGCCGGCCGCCGCCTCGGCGTCGCTCAGCGAGAAGCTCCGGCGGTGCTGCCCGCCGCTCGCCGGGGACCAGCACCCGAACTCCTCTGGCGGGTAAAACCCTTCCCCGCCGCCTTCGTACCTGGCCTGGTCGACGCCGGGGAACGGCGCGTCCTCCGCTGGCAGCCCGGTGCCCCAGGACGCCGTGGGCGGGGAGGAGGGCTTGCTGTGGTGGGCGGCCGCGGCGAGGTCGGCGCGTGCCCTGGCGACGACGGCATGGAGCAGGTGCTCGGGGCCGAAGGCGAGGCGGATCATGTCCTCCTCGCTCTTGTCCTGGATGAGGAGCATGCCCATGATCTTGGAGGCGAGGTCCGGGTGCAGCGCCTGCACCCGCGCGAACACCACCTTGGTGGCCTCGTAGGCGTCCATGGATGGCAGTGTGAACCTCCTGCTTTCGCTCCTCCCGGTGCGGTTTTGATGGGGAGAGGAGAGATGGGAAGGTGAAAGACGTAGTTACAGAGGAGGAGGAGGGGAGGGGGAGCGGAGGGGGGGGCCTCTGAAGGGAAGGTGTAAGTTGCACGGTGAATTAAATAGCGCGGTTGGGGCGTGGTCTTGGGGAGAGGGAAAGTTGGCTGTTTTGTCTCCTTTCCCCTCTTTTTCGGTTCCCCTCTTTCAAATTTTTGGGCTTGGTTTTTTGGTTCCTGGTTCATTCAGAAATGACCACGGCTTTGCTTGTGCGCCAAGGGTGTGGTGTGGTGTGGTGTGGTCAACACCTGGATCGAGGCAAAATTTATCATGTTTGAAATTTTGAGTTGTTGGTTTGGCCATTCCAATCTTCTACCCATGTTTGATTTATTTTGGTGATCTATCCTCCAACCAAATGTTAGCGGGACGGTTTTCTGGTGATGCAGAAAGATCACAATAGTTCGTCGTTGTGAGTCCTTAGCTTTGGTTCTTCGTATGAACACGATTGTGCACAATGCTACATGTTTATGCGTTACTAGTTCATTGCAATAGCTGTACTTCATCATAAATAACAATGACAACTGGTACTACGTGTTTACGTTGTCGTTTCATACGTTAATACGGTGTTGTATAATGGCTGGTGTAGATAACGACAACCGGTGCACCCCTGTTATACGTTGTCTTCTATACATTAACGCGATGCAGCAATGGCGCTTTACAGCAGTGACAGCTAGTGCGCGGCAGTTATACTTTGACTGGTGCAGTGAACGTGCTTCGCGGTACATACCAGTGCCAGCTAGTGTGCGATGGTTATACTTTGACTGGTGCAGTGAATGTGCTTCGCAGTAAATACCAATGACAGCTGGTGCACACCGATTATACGCTGGTGTCTATACGCCAATAGCCTGTAATATTGAGGCTTTGTCATAAATAACAACACAACCAGTTCACACCAGCCTAACACCTTACCTTGCTTAGTAGCTCTGTCCAACACCTCACCAAGTTGCTTGCCAATAGATTTCTAAAGTTGGTCCACATTAATCTATATGATTTTATCAAAGAACGATTCTAGATTGTGTCTCATAGGCTTTGAGTAGCTACATTACTGTCATAAGTCAAATAAAGAACTTATGATCCTAAATTAGATTTTGAAATGCCTTCGGTAAAATTGAGCATAAAGTGATTCATGAACTCTGAAGCAAATGTGGTAGCAAATGGTGCTATTGGATCGAGAATCCTATTAAATGGAGTGCCTAGCAGTGGTGAAGTTTCATGTGGGCCAACACGCATCGTGGCCCGCCTAGCTTTGTAGCATCTGCTCATACTACAACTAACCCATGGGCCGTGGAAAGACAATCAGGAGCAATCCCTTGCAGCTCAGCCCGCCCAACTCTGTGGCATCTACTCATATTATAGCCAACCCATGGGTCGTGGAAAGCCGACTAGGAGCAATCCCTTGCCGCTTGCCCGACCCAGATTGTTTGCTGCAAGCTCCACCACTAGTGCCTGGCAAGTTTTAAATTGCAAGAGGAGAGTTAGACAAGGGTATCCTTTATCACCTTTGTTATTTGTCTTAGTTGTAGACCCCTTCAGTCTATGTTGTTAACAGAGCCATGAAAAACATCATTTGCAGAGACCGACTCAGTTGACGTCGCCGCTTGAGTACTCAACAGGGCATATACAAACAATACTCTAGTCAGTATGTATGCATATATTGCTCCAGTTAGACACTTGCATCAATTATTGGAAGATTCCGGTCTTTCAGCGAGGCTTGAAGTTAATTTTCACAAATATTGTTCCATTCCAGTCAATGTGGATGAGGTCAAGTCTTTACATCTAACTAAAGACCTAAATTGCCAGCTTAGTACTCTACCTTTTACATACTTATGGTTGCCTTTGGGTCTAATTAACTAAACCAAGGGTTCATGAGGTACTTCCCCTAGTTCAAACGTTTGAAAGGAGATTGGCATGTTGGTATGATTTCCTAACCAATGCATCCAGATTGCAATTGGTGAATTCAGTTCTCTCATCCCCCCTCGGGTTTGACATGTGTACCTTCATGCTGCCAAAAGGGATTGTTAAGTAATTAGATCAATATGGAAAGCATTTTTATTTAGGTGTCATGATATAACAAAAAGAATCCGCCCCTGACAGTGTAGGAGCTAGTTTGAAGGCCCCAAACAGAAGAAGAACTAGAATTCTAGATCATTTAAAGCAAAATATTGGTTTCACTCTGAAAAACTGTCACAAGTTTTACAATTGCCTTTGATATCTCTTGGCTAAATTTGCTTTGGGAATTGCATTATACCAACAGCCCTCCAACGACTATTGCCGTTGATGACTCTTTCTAGCAGAGAGACACTATTAGGTTAATGCCCATCTTTAAAGAGATATCTAGATGCAACGTCAAAAATGGCAACCCAATTCTGTTTTGGGAAGATAATTGATTAACCCCAAGCTTTCCATTGAAATGGCGTAGTTGCACTCTTTTGTGATAAATGAAATTTCTACAATCGAGTATGTCTTGTATCGAGAGGACTTGGTTGATCTTTTTCATCTCACCTATATCCCAAAGTGCATATGCTTAGTTTCTGCATCTCCTACAAAATGGCGGGATCTCTACGGGTCTCCCAAGACGATGATACATGGATATATACATGGGGGCCTAATTTCTCGACTCCCCGAGCATAGAAATTTCTATCTGAAATCATGAAACCCCAGTTTCCATCACTTGGAAAATGAAAGACATGTGCACGGAGAATACTTAATAATAAAATTTTATCCGTCGCTGATGGATAGGTTGGACCCTCGATAGATTCTTTAACGAAATATCTTTTATCTTTCTTTAAATGAGTGTCATGTGAGCCCACATTTAGAATGCATATACCACTTATTATCATGCAACTTCACCCAAGGTTGCTAGTCATAATAATGCCTTGGTCGCCAAACTTTCAGATAATCTCCATGCAAACCTCTCAAATCAACAACTAGTAGTGGCATTATTCAAGGAGTTAATAATTCTTGTCTACTAGAGTATATGAATTTGTTGTAACAACAATATTTTCAAGAGGAGAGAGAGCTGAGATTATACGCATGCAAGAAGATATTTAAAGATGAATTGGCTTCGTTGGTTCATCAGACCAAAAGGGCATCTTTTGGTCCACTCACTCATTGGGTAACTAGGTTTTTCTAAATAGCTTTTGATGTCTTTTGTCAGTTGTTTCATGTACATTAGTCATTAGTTTTCCCTCTACATACTACTTATTTATTAAGGTTGCCATGGAACGATTGTTCTATAGTTTTGGGCAAAGAAAAATGGCTTCACAACACTATAATATGTTTTATAAATCCATGTAGTGTAATAGGGATGTTTCTTCATAACTTTTAGTGATAAGCCAATACACGATGGTTGGTGTGCTTTAATACGGTGCAACAATATTGCTCCAAAAAATAACAACGATAATTGATTCATTATCTGGTTATAGTGTGTGTAGGTAAACATGGCACAATAACGACTCTTCATTGTAATGTTGCAATCTACTCAGAACAAATTATATATGGCACATTGTGTTGTTATATAGATGGGTTGGACACATTTGGAATGAATAGAACAATGTAGAACCAAAAGTAACTAATATAGTTGATGGAATTTGAAATTTTGAGTCAGGGCTAGAATTGTAGTTGTTGTAAGCTCCCTAGATTGAGGAAGACCTGATATTTTGTTGGTATCATTATGCAATTCACATATTCATCCAAAAAGTTTTTTCACAACGACACATATGTATTTGTATTACCTTTTTAGTGCAAGTTTTCCTTCTCCATGTTATTCATCCAAAAAGTTTTTTCACGAGACACATGTATTTCCTTTGCCTTTTGGTGTAAGATTTTGCCTTCGTCGTGTGTGTCCAAAGGTATGGCATAATAATCGAAAACAAGATGTGTTGGTTTTTTCCCAATTGTTTTCTATATTGCCTAAATAAATTTTAAAATGTGCGAGGACGCTTTTGTGTCTAAAATTGTGTATGTTTAAGTGATGTCTAAAATGGGTGGAACATTTATGTTGGAATGGTTCATATAGCACTAGCATGAAGAAAGCCATTGAAAATGATGCTCGTGCATAATTTAATAATGACGAAAGTGCTATGTGATATTCTTCGGTATAAATGGCGTCTATGAATATTTATATTCTGGACAAGATAACCTCTAAGATTTCACTACTGAACAAAGTTGAACACCATAGGCGTGATGCTTCCAATACTAAGTATGTACTACCCTAGTAACACTACTGTAGGATGCTACTAACACGACACTACGATCAGAGACCCTTCGACGAAACTGTGTGTGATGCAATAATCGCAAACAGTGGTGTAAAAAACCGTCAAAAAGGTGCAAAACGTTTGCGATGGAGGATGCATCAAGCAGGGTTCAGATTTTAGTTGCATGTGCGATGCAGGGCATACGGTTCAATTCAATTAACTGTTTGAGATGAGGAGGAACAAAAAAACGGGAAGCCAGATGGAGGTGTGTGCGATATACAACATACGGTTCACTCAGATAAACTATTTGTGATTAGGCAGCACAAAAGAAACGGTCAGCCAGATCAAGATGTGTGTGATATACGGCATGCGGTTCACTCGGATGAACTGTTTGTGTCGAGACAAGAGAACAGAAATGGTTCAATATAACAAGATGTGTGTGATACGCAGCAAACAAGTCTGTAATAAGAAATGTGTGCAAAAACCGACAATAACACAGACAGTTGCTGCTAATAAGATGTGTGTGTTGTGCAATGAGATTGCATACAGAACAACAACATATACATATACACACTTATAAGGACATGGTTGCATAACCAAATTAAACATCCACTTACATAGGTGGCTACTACAACCATGACATTTGTACACACCAAAGTAAACTATTATATGCATAATTACATAGGTGGCTACTACACACATAACATT